TATGTACTAGGAGGAAGATAAACCCCACATTACCAGTTTTGACTCAGTTCCTATTAATGATACAAAGTTTTCCCTTTCCCTCTGTGTTGTGCCGTCAGACAATACATACATATATAAATGCATATATTTGTGTATATATAGTTATTTTTAAGGTGGTCACCAAGAGCAAGGTTTTACAGGTGATTCAACCCTTCTGCAGTTTGCCAAATGTACCTGCTAATTTAGCTACAGCATGAACTTCGCTGCCCTCTGCAGATTTTCTGTTCAGATGGTAAAGAGGTTGAAAAAGGATGGGGGGGGGGAAGCGCTGACTGGTGCTTATTTTGTTATTGCCAAAACTTAATTTTTATTTTTCAAGATAAAAGGTCTCACTCTCCAAGGAGGAGTTGTGGTTAGATTTTAGACAGCTCCTGGGGCTAACGCTGGACATAAAGAAGGGCAGCAAACCATGGGAAGAGAGATCTAGTTTAAGCCCTAGGGGGGAAAATAACGAAGACTTCTACAATTTAGACAAAAAGAGTACTGCAACGGAAAAAGGGGTGGACGCAGAGACGGCCCTGGGGTATAGGACGCCTGCAGAGCCCTGGGTCTCCAGGTGACTTCGTACGCTGGGACCACGGGAGGCCCAAGTTCTTGCTGTGGGAAGGACTGGATGAACGATAAAGCGGGTCTATTTCCGTTTTAATGTCTTTCAAATATATTTTGCAAGTAGTGCTAGGTCGTCTGACTAACTAAAAAAAAAAAAAAACCCAAAAGACCCAACCCCGAAAACTGATAAATGTAAAATGTTGAGATATTTACACCTTTAAAAAACAAGTTGTATTCAAACCTCTTTATCCCAAGTATTTCTTTCGAAGCCAAAGATTTGAACTGTCAAAGAATCCATCTGACAGAGTTTTGCACCTCTCTTCAGCACTTTCGGTCCTCGAGCTTCCGCCGCGTCGGACGCCAGCGAGCCCCGCTACCCAACCCCCGCTGGGCGCGCGCCCCCAGAGGGAGGAGAGAGCGTGGAGGTGGTTCCCTCGGAACACCCAATCAAAAGCGAGGCCCGGCGGTGGCGCTAGTGACGTAGGCCGCGCTTTCCTCCGCCCCACTGCGGGCCGACGCTCAGCACCGTCAGCCGCGCCAGCTCGCGCGCGAGAGGAGAGGGAGGAGGAGGGCTTGGGGCAGGCCGGCTGTCGGAGGGCGACGGGTCGCGGGATGGGGTAGAGTGAGCATGCGCAGCGGCTCCGTGGATTTAGGGGAAGGCGGGGGGTCGTGTGCGCGCGCGCGCGCAC